GATGACAGGGCGGAAATAGCGCACGACTTCCGTGCACGCTCTCCAAAACATCTCGCGTTCCATCAACGACCAACAGCGAGTTTCATCCCTTGGCCAGAAACGCATTTGCCATGGAAATAAGGGTCTGGTCTTAGCTCCTGGACAGCCACAGGATCGGCCTCAGGCTCGAAACAGCCATACCCGAGCGGCAAGTGGCTCAATACAGGCGCCCATGGCAAACATAGCCAGTAGCAGACCTCTGCATTGTGACACGTTGACCGCCCTGTTTCCCCAGATCTCGCTTCAAGCGTTCAGGCGTCAAGAAAGCGTGCCTTCGCGACGCCTGAAGTCTCGAAGGTGTTATGGCATGGCATGCGTATACCGACTGATCCGCTCAACAGGCGGCAACTGTTTCTCTATATACTATATAATGGACGCAAATGTGCTCATTTGGCTCGGCAGGCAGGTCCACGTTCTTCTCTTCTCACTACCAATTACACACCAAGACAACCTTCGTTTCTACCCGCATTTTCTTAATCACCAAACGAGCTAGTCTCTTTACCAACAGACCAACCATAATGCATTTCTCAACCGTCTTCGCTGCTTCGGCCATGGCCAGCGCTACCTTCGCAATGGATCACAAGGTCATTGTCGGCAACAAGGCTGGCGATCTTGTCTTCAAGCCAGACAGCCTCAAGGCCGCTGAGGGCGACACTGTCACCTTCTCGTTCTGGCCCAAGAACCACTCCGTCGCTCAGGCTACCTTCGCCAACCCTTGCCAGGTAAGATTCTCCATATACGAACTGCGTGTGGGACATACACTGACTTCGTACGTCCAAATTTAAAGCCTATGGACGGTGGCTTCTTCTCCGGTTTTGTTCCGACATCTGATATGGAGAGCGTCGCCAGCACAACCTTCACCTATGAGGTCAAGAATGCTTCAGCTCCCGTCTGGTTTTACTGCTCTCAGGGCATGCATTGCCAGAATGGCATGGTCGGTGTTATCAACCCCCCGTAAGTTTCCCATTTATCTTGTAGTCGCTTGCTTTCACTGACATTGTCTAGGGCGTCTGGTCCCAACACTCTTGATGCATTCAAGAACGCTTCTGAGAAGGCCACCGAAAACGTATCGCCTACATCAACCGCCGGCACTGGTGGTAAGCTCAACGAAAACGGTACTTCAACATCCGAGTCACCTTCACCTTCTTCAGCAACAGGTGCTGCGTCCCATCTCGCTGGCAGCGCTGTGTTCGCGGGTATGACGGGTCTGTTCACCTTCTTCATGCTCTAAGCGATCGAGCTTGTAGTGCGAAGCAACTGTTATACCCCAGCAAAGATGGAACGAAGCTCTGGCAGACAATGTGCATTAGTATGGTGGAACACCATCAAGAGAAAGTGGCAAAGTATAGGTATTCTTGGTGTTAATTGTATATGAGTATTGAATGAAATAGTCAAAACTCCAACTATGTACGATCGTGTAGTGAGCACTGCTAATTGGGTAACGTACAGAGCTGCATACATGTTGGTCATAGCAGCATGACTGCTAAACGATGGCGGAGCCTAGGTGGCCTGTTAAGAGTCAGCGAAAGCTGTCGAAAACAAGCAGAAGTGTAATGTGAGGTTGAAATGCAAATCAGACATCCAAGGAAGGTATTCGCGCTCATTGACCATCTAAAGTAGGTTCGATTGATGGCTAGCGTGGAAACTGCGAATGTGGAATGCTTTTCATCATGGTGCAGGGACGGGAAGTTGGGAGAGCAGTAGTACTTACAAGAGCAAGTGCTCAAAGCAGAGAAACTGATGTCAATGAGAATGCGACACAGGGGCGAGCGCTGAATACGCTTGCAGCTGCAGAAGAAGAAGAAGAAGAAGCACGTGAACTGAAGCAGAGTGCAGGAAGCTAAAAACTTTCAAGTGGACCCGATCGGGGTTATGTTTCGCCGGGGCCGCAGAAACTTGTTGATGTTCAGCGCATGCATGTGCTTGTAATGCCGGGCGTGGCTTCTAGAGGAACTGCCTGGACACAATCACTCAGAGCTATGCCCCGCGTCAGTTTCGACATGTTGTTGTCACATGTTCGTTGTGTGGGCTAGTGTTCCGATAGGGCTCACAACTCAATCACAACCTTGCGAAAGCTGACACCCTCCTTCTGCTTCTTGTAGCCCTCCGCCACAGCGTCGAGTCCCTTTCCAACTACCAGTGGTTCTGGGCTAAAGGTACGTGCGCGAAGTCAGTGTATGCCTCACACGCACTTGGTACATAGATACTTACACAGCTTTTAGTGTACCCCTTTCTAGCGCCTCTGGCACCCACCGAGCCCAGACAACGTCACCGACGTACTTGTCCGCCAGCGCTACACTTGGACCGAAGACGCTTGTGCCCTCGATACCTTTTGGAAGGCCCTCTGCATCAGGCAGCACAGAGCCATAACGTCCACCGAGCTTCTCGTATACTGGTGCCCAGGCAGCCGCAGCATCCGGTGTACCAATGGCGTCACAAACACCCGCGAATTCCGTGCCTTCGAGAGCAGCGATGATGTCGTGGGCGACCTTGGGGTCCTTGTAGTCAAAGGCTGCTGTTGCGCCCAGGCCTTTGAGCTTCTCTAGGTTGTGCTTGCTCGCTACGCTGACGACCTTTACACCGGCACCCGCGGCTAGCTGAATTGCAGTCGCTCCAACGCTGCTCGAACCGCCCCATACCAACACTGATTTGCCCGTAGAAGAGGGGTTGGAGGATGGCAAGGGTAACGCGAGGGTCTCCTTCTTGAAGAGGCATGCGGCGGCAGTGGAGACGGCAAGAGGTAGCACCGAGGCCTCGGCGAACGTCATGTGCGATGGAATCTTCGATACGACGAGCGCGTTGCAAGCAGTGTAGAGCTGAAATCCACCGTGCGCGGGGTCGTTAGTCACGAGTGAGAACGCGTGTCTGTACCATGCTGTTAGTTCACAGCCCCGCGGAAGCTCTCAAGGTTGAAGGCGGAAGACGAACCCTAGCACCCGGTCGCCCTTGGTAACGTGTGTAACGCCCTCGCCAACTTCGTGCACCTCACCAGCGACGTCAGTACCACAGACGTTGGGATACTTTTGCAGGAAGATGCCGTAGTCCTGGATTTTCCCTGCTCTAATTAGCAAACTCATTCCTACTAGAAAATGCAGATACTCACAATCTACGGGGTTAACGGCAACGGCGTGGTTCTTAATAACAACCTCGCCCTTGCCTGCCTTTGGCATGGGAGCTTCCTTGACCTGGAGCTGGCCCTTTGCTTCTGGGATCCATGCTGCTTTGTTTGACATGATGGTGGTAATTCTTGAAAGATATCGTTTCTTGGGAGCAGAGTACAGACACAGATGTGAGGCAAAAACGATGGCTTGTACCTAACTAACGAAAGAAGAGACAGCACCGGTGTACGACGGCGCAACACGCTCGCCGATGCCGTCTACCCACCTTCGATTACTGAGCCTCGGTAGATCTCCAGTTCATGCACACAGATCGAACCCCACATTACGCTTTGTTTTCGAACGTGACTACAGATCCGTTTAGCATGTTAACTGGTGAGCTGGTTATGCGGTGACGTTATCTGAGCAATGATGATGTATAGCGCTATGTCATCGTTGGTGGATTTAAACGGAGTTTGGTCGCCTTGTTCCATGCTCACGGTTCGAGCCGGGGAGTGCCACGAGTGAACACCAACAGAAACGAGAAGAAAAAGAAGCAGTAGAGTAATATGAGATTAGGTTGCGGGTTGAAAAGAGTTTCGGTTTCGGAGAACTATTTGGGTTCTACGCAATCGCGTTCTTGCTCTGACACGTGGCTACCTAGTTACGGCTTGGAAGCCTAAATTGCATGTGACTTGGGTCCTCGAACAGACTCGATGTCTTCTACTTCATTCATACATTTCAGGTCTTCATCTTGCGATCTATATACAGAGCATTATTGAAACCTGGCTACCCACGCCAAGATTCGAGTCAAGAAGGTACCTAGGTATACATGCGACAGGTTGTGTTTGCATGTAGCTCTCTGCATAGTTCGCTCTATCTGTTAATTCTTCTTTTGGTTTTATTGGACAAGACAAGCTTTTAGCCTGGAGTGTATTCTCTCACATTGCGAGTTTTTTGCGGGGCATGCGGGCGTGTGTAGATACAGACTTAATTACACATCAACAGCTTGTTGTCACCCCATACACAATATTGTCTATCACAGCCTGTAATTCATAATGGCCCATTGCTTTAGAGATTGCAATAGATTCAGGGACTGCATGAGGCTACTCTGGATGCGATCGTGAACTCGTTAATGTCTGGTATTTGCTTAACCTATCAAGTGTAAAAGGCGAGATGTGATAGGTATTCCAATTCATGTCGGCTCCTTATTCCAAAACTGTTGGCTTATGTTGTCCTGCCTCATTTACGATCTCTGCAGATTTCATGTGCCTCCTGTTCGGCCGAGCGTTGTCATAGGTGTGCAGCGTGTACGCCACCAAAATTTCTCAAGAAGCAGCCTGTCCAGGGCTCCGTGGGCTGCTGCCACAACTCGGCCACTCGTGCGCGGCTTAATATTGGGAGGTATGAAGCTCCAGGTCCTCTCCTACCAGGGAATCGAGAAGTTAAGTAAGTGACAAAACCGCGGCAAAGGCCTCGTAAAGGCTGAGAGAGCGATAAGCGTGCTGCCGAGTCATTTGTGACGCGTATCAAGCCACCGTCTGATTCAAGCGCCAATGCCCCGACAAGCGCAGTAGGTAGCAACACCAACCAATGTGGAGTGGCATTGCAACGGCGCAGCCGAAGCAGATGGCCATGCCGCACTCCGATTGACTTTTGTTGGTTTTCCACCACTACAACCACCCTGCTACGAAACCGTCCGTGACCGCCTCGCCGAAACGCCCGCGTACTGCGATGCTTACTTGGCCTCGCTGATCTGCATCTCGCAATCGGTCCTGCGACCTGATCCCCACCATCCTCATCAACTACCTAGACAGCGACTCTCCGCCGGCTTTCCTCGCGTTCCAAGATACCTTCTTCGCCACGATGAAGCTACCTCCCATCGCGGTAGCCTGTCTTTCCGCTCTCGCCATAGACTCATGCAGCAACGTCATCGCGCAACGCTTGAAAGCATGGAACGAATCTAAGCCCTTCGTCTTCGACCGCGTCCTCTTTACCCAGTTCGCCATCATGGTCGTACTCACCGCGCCCATCAACTACCACTGGCAGAATTGGCTCGAGCGCGCGTTTCCGGGCTGGAAGACCGTCAAGCAAACAAGGGCTGTAGGCGAAGGTGAAGAGGAGAAGGGCATAATGCTGAGAGGTGATGGAGAAGGAAAGGGCATTGTGGAAGAAGAGGTTAGAGTGAGGAACTGGTGGAATATTTTCAAGAAGTGGTTTACGGACGTGAGTGGCCTATGCTCCAATTGTGGTGACGGATTAAAGCTTACGAGATACAGTGCATAACCATGGGCGCGCTACTGAACCAGTCAATGTTCCTGATTCTGATTGGTCTCATGAAGGGCAAGACAGTTGCGATGATTGGGCAAGACTTCAGAAACGTAAGTAGGCCCTCTGCCGAAGGGCTGCTGTGTGCAGTGCTAATACTTAAAACAGGAGCTCGTCGGTCTCATCTTCGATTCGTACAAGGTCTGGCCGATTGCCAACTTCTTTAGCACCACCTTCATCCCTGTCGAGCGTCGTATTGTCTTCCTCAGCTTCTGCGGTTTACTGTGGAACATATATCTGAGTCTGGTGGCAGCTCGATTGTAGACGTACCAAGACGCAACATACCAGATTCCGCTTAGAATAAATACAAGGAAGATGAGGACTGCGTTACGCTGGTATCTAGATCAAGTAGACATCTTACCACTCCTCGGCCCCTTCTTCCAAGCTTCCATAACCGCTGCCCAATATTTGTTCTCGTCCTCCCTGATATGACCACAGTGCGGACTTTTCTCAAACTGCACCTTTGTCACATCCCATCCCTTTGCCTTGGCAAGATCAGCGTGCTCATCTGCCTCCTCAAACCGAACCATCGTATCCGAATGACTATACAAATACAGACGCGGTACATTGGTATCAAACACCGATTCATCGTTCAGTTCTCGGCAGAGAACTACCATCATATTCTCCCTTCCCGTAGTCTTGTCTGCAATAAATGTGAGGACAAGGAGAAGATGAACCAGCGCCCCACCAAACCGACCCCAAAACGTGTTTCTGGGAAGGGACGCGGAAATGGCTGCATGGCTCTGCATCCACGGGCCTTTGGTCGGACTGGAATCGAGAATCTGTGCTTGCATTGGTAGCACTGTACCATACTTCTTTTTCCATGCTTTTGCAAATTCATTGACTTGATTCCCGCCGCCGTTTGAGAAACTATGGACAAGGATGCGTCCTCCTGAAGCGGTATGTTCGGCTACAAGATCTGTTGTTGGCTCGAGCAAAGTGGCGTAGGACGAGGTACGGCGGAACATGTCTGGGGTGAAGCATCGTACCAGCAGGATGCGGGATGTTGGGAAAAGCTTCTGGTAGGCAAGTGTGTATTTGGCGATGTGCTTTGCGGCCGCAGCGTTCCAAGTGAAGAGTAGGATGAGCGGAGTTTGCTCTGCGAGTTGGGATAGGTATGATGATGATGTCCAGAGATATGTGTTGTGACCTATCTTTTGAAAATCGGATAGCGGTGTTACTATGTCTGCATTGGGTGGAGAGGCTGATAGCTCCATTGCTGCGTGTGAACAAGGAAGCTGGTATGATGAGGTATATAGACACCTAGGCAGAGATGTATACTACATTGCGTCTTGTTAGCTAATTGTCAACGACGCGACGACCTTCTCTAGAGCAGGTCTTCGAAACACAGCCTCGAAAGAACACGCTTCCTCGTAATTCACGTACGATTTGCTAGTAATGATACGGCCATAGAGCGAGCAGGTTGCTTCATCAGCTGAGCCAGAGAACACAGAGACGTCAATTGGTAATGATATAAAAGTCCTTCTCAGGAATGCACGTTTAATAGCACGAGTTGAATTCACGACCTTGGCGTAGAAGAGCAACCGAGCCGAGGTACCACCATTATTGGCTATTTACGTCCACTCTCGCAACACGCACCGAGTTCAATCTACGCGACTTACACTTTTGAGTTCTGAGACTATGGGGCCTTGCATTGTGCAGTCTGACATGCTGGTGCCTAAACTGCAGTCTGGTTCTGACCCAACGCCCATGCAGCTGTGGGGCTCACCGTTGCACCCGCCTGCGCCACCCCGATAGCGATGCTTACGCCGCCCTCGCCCACCGCTGCACTCTATCCTGCAGCAAATCTGATGCCTGATTACTTGGAAGTAGAGGTGGCTGTTGAGCGTGTAGTCTGATGTGAAGTGAGAAGATGATTGGAAATAGTATATGGGAGAGCTCAGCTTGACATGTATTTATCTAGTGGGTCGCTTCTCGTCCCCTGCCACAAGCGCCGCCTCCTGCGATGCCATATGCGACTTGTGCGCATGCTTGTTGATTGTCGTCTGTATCCCATTGCCATGGCCATGGCCGGCGGAACGTCAGGTACTTGTGGAGCGGCGGGCGTATTATTTGCTCCTTTCCTGCCCAATTTGAGCGACAGTAGTATGAAAACAGCTGCGATCAAGATGGCTAGCAGTAGCATAATCTTCCTCTTGATGCTGCGCTTCTGGTATCCAGAGGCGACGTTGAGCTCCTTGTCGGCTTCTTTGACGTCTCGCGACATGTTCTCTACATTGTAATCTATGCGATCGAGCATGCTGCCCTGATCGATGACCATGGTCTGCAGCTCTTGGAAGATGTTTGCTAGCTCGATGATGCCTTGGGCGATGTCTTCGATTTCGCGCTCGCGCTGAGCAATGATTGCTTGATTGGGGTCGTGGCGCATGCGCTGTTGCTTTGTCTGGAGGAGAGTGGACTGGGAGAAGGAGCGATCGGCGTCCGACTCTTGCAAGGCAGGGTCGTTGTAGGGGTTTTGGACGGGTGTTGCAACGCGGAAGGGCGAGGTGAAGCCGCCAAGGTCGCGTAGTTCTCGACAGACTGTTAGCATAGCCAGGGCTGTGAGGCGGGGGTTGTCTCACTCTTGAGGTAGGCAGCCTGCTTCTTGCGGAACATGGCACTGACATGGCCAACGCGGGTTGCCAGTGCGATTTTGAGGTTCTGGGCCATGACGTCTTCGCCCTGGGCGATGCTGCCCTGCTGTTTTGCGTCGCGGACCATGGCGTCTATGCGCTTGATGGCTTGCTGGCACTTTTGGAAGAGGCGCGTGATGGCCTGGGTGAGATGCTCAATGTCGCGCTCCTCGCGCCTCTTGACGTCTTCGTCATCGAAGCCAGGCAGCACGTGCTTCTGGTGCAGCTGGTCGAGCTTGCGTGTCTGCGTGGCGATGTCGGCGAGGTGCTGGGTGATTTCGTCCTGCACGTCGAGCCAGCGCGGAGGCAGCAGGTCCATCTCAATCACGGCGTCGCCGTCGTCGTGGTAGGCGCCGCTGGACATGAGGCCCTGGCGCTCCTCGGACACGCGCGTGCTGTCGCCCAGGCCATTGGAGCGCGGGCGGGCATGGCGCGTCTTCTGCTGGGGGTGGTGGGCGTAGGACTGGCGGTAGGATATGAAGAGGTTGGTTCGGTCCCGCCACATGCTGGGCTGGCGAGGGTCAACCTGAGAGGACGGCCAGACTGTGAGTGACGGCCGCTTCGCAGGCGTGTCGGCGGCTGAGGTGCGGTGCGCCGGCGAGGGAGCCGCCTTCCCGCTCTGGGCGACGCTAGGCCAGCTCCCCAACAGACGGCCGTCTGACAGCCTGCTCCACTCCAGCCCATCTTGCCCAGCCGCAAACACTACGGGACCCTCCTTCACACCACACCTGCGCCTCTGCTCTATCCACCACCCCAACCCATCGTCGCCCAGCAGCCCAGCACCCTTCACCCTCGCACCCACCACCCACCACCCAGAGACAACATGGTGTGTAGCCCCGCCCCGCCCGCGCGCCCTCGCACATACCCCGCCCTGCAAAACACGACGACCGCACGCCCGCCCCCAGCCCGGCGCATTGCTAACACTGCCATCTAGGCCGATTCTCTCACCGAGGAGCAGGTCTCCGAGTTCAAGGAGGCCTTCTCTCTGTTTGTAAGTGGCCGCCCAGCCCTGCCTGCCCACCAACACCAGCTAACCACCTTGTGATGCAGGACAAGGACGGCGATGGTCAGTACTCTCCGTCGCCTGCACCACCCACACCTTGCCCCCCTGGGAGCGCCCTCGTTCCTGCCCACGCAACCGCACTCCGCACTAGACACCCGAGTTTGACCCCGCTGACGATGATGCCTCACAGGCCAAATCACTACCAAAGAGCTGGGCACCGTCATGCGCTCGCTCGGCCAAAATCCCAGCGAGTCTGAGCTCCAGGACATGATCAACGAGGTGGATGCCGACAACAACGGCACCATTGACTTCCCAGGCACCTCTCCCTCCCACTTCTGCCACACGCCCGCTCTAACCTCGTGCAGAATTTCTGACCATGATGGCCCGCAAGATGAAGGACACCGACTCCGAGGAGGAGATCCGGGAAGCCTTCAAGGTCTTCGACCGCGACAACAACGGCTTCATCTCCGCCGCCGAGCTGCGCCACGTCATGACTTCTATCGGCGAGAAATTGACCGATGACGAGGTTGACGAGATGATCCGGGAGGCCGACCAGGACGGCGACGGCCGAATTGACTGTACGTCCTGTTTGCTGCCATCACACGTGCCGCTCTAATACAATCCAGACAACGAGTTCGTCCAGCTCATGATGCAGAAGTAAGCCTCTGAAGTTGCGAGGTGGAATGACTACATGTATTGCGACGGTAGCACGGCTGAGAGTTGATGTCGACGAGTGACGGCACAGTTTGACCTACTTGGCGTGTCGTGTCTTTGTACCCCGGATTCGGTTGCTTGTAACCCGAGTCGCCCGGCTTGTTTGTCAGCGTCTGCAGGGAATTGTCTCCTATACCTATCCTCAATTCACATTCTCACGTATTTACCCCAACTTTCACTTTGGTGCAGAGCCTCTCCTGAATGGTCTTGAGCCACACTCAAGCCTTCAGGTTTTTGCAAGACACGCAGGGCCATGAGGCGGTGCATACCCGGACAAGCTTTGACCGCTTAGCCTGCGGGTCCTTTGCTGATCAGTCTCCATGGACACGAATGCGCGTCTTCAAGGGTAAACCTTCTTCCTCTGCCCAACTGCGCTGCGGATTGCGATCTTCGGCTGCTTCATTGCGATTGCCCTACGCCCCTCCCCCATGATGATCAACGCATCTGCGTCCACCACAGTGAGACAATATGGCAACCTCGCACAAGACACATAGATTTCCAAAAGGTGTCTGGTCGTGCAATTGCTTTCTGTTTGTTATGACCGACTCGCATACTCTTCTATTCGTAGTCTTGTACCCGTATTGCATTGCGAGCAGGAATATACGCAGTCCTCCTCGAGCCGAACGGGTCAAGAGGCCGTACTGCCGCCCCGTCTGTATGTCATCACTAGAAAGTATAGGCGAGATCGACACGAAAAGGGAATAAGGATCTTCGGTACAGCAAGTCATGGAGAGACGTTTACGGCAAATGCCATCTCCCGTTCGATTATCCACCCACTGACGGAAATCCCTAGCATGGCGACTGCCATCTCATGTCCGAGTCGTCGTCATCGTAAACCACGACGGTTGCGGCCCCATCTGGCTTGGCAAGTAGAGGCGGAGGGAGCCGCGACGTTGCGCAACGGCTTTCTAGGA